CCCACAGCCCCCCATACCTTCACAAATCCCCCCCCACATAATTTTGTATAATTTTGAGATTTTCTGCACACAATTTTGATTTTTTTAGCTGTACAGTTAAAATTGTGATTAATGCGACTATTTTTTTTATTGCACAACTAATCACAATCACTTTTTTTTAATCATTTGACAGCCCTAGCTACAACATATAAGCAGAATGAACAATGTAATGACAGCAAATGGCATGTTAGTTGTATGAGATTTTGGTGGCAGTTGGAGAGGAGTTAGTGAAATGAGGATCACCTAATAGAAGAAGTGGAGGGAGAAGGGACCTGGCAAGGAAATAGGATGGGAATGATAGCAGAGAAGAGATATTGGGTATGTCAACCCTGTAGTTATTGTAGTAACTGCTGTATTGTGCAGACATAGCTGACTTAGCTTTAAACTAGTTAGCTGAACCCCTGGTAGAAGTGTAGCCATCAGAATGGAGCTCGGTGCAGACTAACCAGGCAACTAGCTACCATGCAGTAAGTTCCTTGCCACCATGACTAGACTGCTATCAGTACCCAAGCCAGCTGGTGTAACAGTGCCAGCTATGCAGACCTAGCCTGCTGTGGTAACCAGTAAGCACAAGGGCTGAGAAAGTCTGGTTGCAACTGTGGGAAGTTTTCTGAATGCCTGGCGACGCCTGCTTCAGCTGCTGCTTCCGCTGCTGCTTTTGCCATTGGGTTAATAAAACATAGTCATGTTGTGCTACTGGATGACAACTGAGCTCCTCTAATTCAAACCTCTATGAACAAATAAGGATTTCTAAGATAAGCCTCACTCTCCAGACCGCACTTTCTCAACGGCAAGTGCTGAAATTCTTATGATAATGAGAGTCATGTTCTTTCAGACCCTATCTTTTAAGCCACCTAGGGTAAAAATTAAAATCAAAACAAAAAATTAAAAATACATTATATTGGCTCTATTCTTCATGCAGCCAGTACATATACCAGATGTACTGGTGCATGTACTTTAATTAAAGCTCCCCTGCCACTCAGGGAGCCTGGTGCAGTGGGGTAGTGATCTGGGACATGGCCACCAAGATACTATCTGAATATAAATTACACTGTGTTTTCCTCCTCTAAGATCAGCTGGCTTTTAAAAAAAAATTGATACCTCTCCATAAACTTTCTCGTGAAAGTCCTATTTGAATATTCCCAGAATTTTACATATTGGTAATTTAGCAGTATGATTTAATTGTATGTAACTGCTAATCACCCTTCCTCCCCAGAATTATAAAAGATTTTTGCTTATGGCACAGGCATAAACACAAGGGAAAATGGGAGAAGCAATGTAAAATCAAAGGTGTTTGTATTAATGTCAAAACATTGGAGGATGCGAGCACAATTCAGAAAATGACACTGAACTTTGCTTAGTTCTGTGAAGTTACTCCAGCCCTACAAGAATGGAGACTTTGGTCCTGTCCTTGGTACAGGACATCTAGCTCTACCACTGACCTGTGCGTGACCAGTCACTTCAGTTTCAGTCTGTCAGGAATCTAAGGTGGTGATGTTTACCTGTGTAGATACTAGTTAGTTTAATGTATTTTTAAAATAGGTGATAGGTGTAGCGCTATATAGCAGCAATACTATTATTGCATCAGGATACATTGGCCAAGAGTTTTGAAAGTCCATGGACACTTTAAATAGTTCATAATGTTTCCAAATGTCAAGCATATGAAAAATTAACTGAGAGAGGCATAATTCTCAGGAAAAACACTTGCATGCAGAGGATACATTGTTATTTTTCTGTTCAACACTTCTCTCAACAACTTCTCTAAAGGCAAAACATGTTACTGGTCATGAATTCTCTTGACTGGAGACTCCCCGACTTCCCAAGAAGAAGAATGAGGGAACTCAAGAATGATTTCTTAGTGATTCAAAGTGATTGCTAGGATGATAGTGAAAGGAAATACATCTAACTGGTTTTCTGCAGAGAAAAGTCCAGTGACTCATGTATTAGAAACTTGCTCACCTAATTATAGTCATTGCACTTTGTAAATGACTACCAAAATCCCTTTCATGGGACTTTAGTGAGAGAACGTATTGATCCTGTGTCCTGAATGAGCCCATTTCTACAGATGCATGGAGAATAGGCTGTGACACGTCTTCAGTTATGAAGTGAAAGGCATCAATAATGTAGATTGGGGGACTGCATTTCACTGTAATATCCTTGAGATGTGACATTCGTGCTTTTATCTGGTAAGGAAATGATAGATTTTCCTAACTTTTCCAAGATACAATGGGGAAGGGGATGGGTCACACAGTGGCCTATTGTTACGGGTAGGTAAGGATAAGTGACTGCTACCACTAAGGGCTTGTCTACATATGGAGTTGTTTCTGATTGACTCACTGGTTAAACTAAGAAGAAGGCCGCACTCTTATTCCAGAAGAGGACTGGTTATACATAGACTTAATCAGGAATAACTCTGCGTATACAAAACCCCCAACTTTGGAAGTCAGAGATCACAGGCTATATATACAACAGCCTTGTCCCCTACTGTATGAGAAAGAGCATGATACAGAAGTCATGATTTTAAGGCCTCATAAGCAGGGATCCCCAATTTTTGGTTAAAAAGTAACCCTAAATCCATATTTTTCCATTATTAAAATGAAACTCTGTGTGTGTGTGTGTGTGTGTGTGTGTGTGTGTGTGTGTGTGTGTGTGTGTGTAATATTAGTGGTGTTTAATTTCAATCATGGAAAAATGTGGATTTGAGGTTATCTTTTTTAACCAAAAATTGGGAATTTTTTAAAATCAGAGAAAGCCAGGATCCCTGCTCATATGTCACCATAGTTGAGGGGAAAATGCCAGACGTTAATGGAAGCCTGCAGTTTCCAGCTTTTTATTTTCCTAGAGTTTAACAAAATAATGTATCTTATCACTGGCACTCATTTTTCAGTCCAAGCTAAAAACCAGGCCATGTATGAGATGATATTGTACAGTGAGTCACTTGGGCCAATGCACTGGTGCTTAAGTGAAAAAATTAAAACAAACCAGTAAAAAAATGAGAACAAACCAATATAAAGTAGCCTTTCTTTAAATTATTTATGGGCCCTCTAGTGATGCTTACTGTGTTCTATGCACCTGAAACTAGCCAGAAATGTGTTTTAGTAGCAAGACCTCCACATTGTTGACATTTATTAAGTACAGGTTTTTAAATGGCAACATGCTGGGGTACTTTCATCTACTGTGTTAGTCTCATAGATTTCATCAATTTCATAGACATAAGGGGCATTGTACTGCAATATCTATTAAACGTGATTTTTTTTAAATCTGTCCATAATTTCTTGTATCCAGGTGTGTGGGTTTGTGCAAGTGCAAGGTGGGAATTTGCTCACAAAAGTACATGATTTTCTGTACACAACTGGGGCAGGAATTGGGTGTGTGTTCACATATTGCAGTCTCGCTGATTTTAACATCCTAAATGTGGGCTAATTTCCATAATATCCGGACAACAGTATCAAATTAGTGACATCAACCTAGTGTTAATTTGACTGTGGATTGGATCTTGAATGTCATCTAATGATTTTCTTCCCCATTTTTTCAGCTCCAGGGCTCCTTGAAAAGAAAGCTGGTGGTAAATCTGTCACCTGTCAACAACAAGAGACAAAATGGTATTTCAGATAGCTCTTTCCTTGACATCAAGAGGATACGAGTGGGTGATAATCTTTCTTTGGGACAAGGCGGACATCATGTTAACAATTGCCAAAGCCAGTCGATGTCAGGAAATTTGCCTGTGGGGCAAGGATCACAAAGAAAGAGCAGCAACCTAACAAATAATACTCATGCTGGTGGAAATGGCATGTTTAACATGGCTTTAAAAGAGGTCAAGAAAGAACCAGGAGAAACCATGTCTTGCAGCAAACACTTGGATGGTCAGATCCCCCATGAGAACATCTTTCCTAGCAGATATGGGGAGGAAACAGGGGAACAGATGATGGATCCTGAGCTTCAGGAACTTTTTAATGAACTGACTAATATCTCAGTGCCACCCATGAGTGACCTTGAGCTAGAAAATATGATCAATGCTACCATAAAACAAGATGAGCCTTTTAACATTGACCTTGGGCAGCAAAACCAGAGAGGCTCCGCTAGAGCCTCTCTGCAGATGGAGAAAATGGTGATCAAAAGTGAGTATTCACCAGGTTTGAATCAGCCACCTGTAGGCTCCCCACAAATGAGGCCTTCATCTGCAGGCCCGTCCTTCACAATGGCCAGCACTGCCATGTCCACCTCATCACCCATTCCTTCAGTGCCTCAGAATCAGATGCAGCCGTCGCAGGTTTCTTCTGTCTCAACTCGACCATTGACTAACTGGCAAGAAGTGTCTCATGCGCAGCAGCTCAAACAAATAGCAGCCAACCGACAGCAGCATGCTTTAATGCAGCAGCAGCAGCAGCAAAACCAGTCAGCCAGCTGGTCTACCATGTCTCCATCAGGACCATCCCCAGGGCCATTCGTACAGGAGAAAATTCCCAGCCCTTCCTTTCATCAGCAGCAGTTCAGCCCACAAAATTCAGCAATGCTTGGGGTACCTGTAAATGGAAATCAGTCCAAAGGGATGAATAACTATGTTTATAAACCGAACTCCACACCTCAGAGCAACCCCATTGACATCATAATGCAACAGAAGCCTCAGGACCTCAACAGAAACTTTATAAACAACAGTCAGCCACCACTAGAGCAGCATCCTGGCAACACAAAGCCTTTGTTTCACTTTAACTCAGAGCAAGCAAACCAGCAGATGCCTTCAGTTTTGGGTTCCCAAAGCAAGACTTCTATTCTTCATTATACGCAGCAGCAGCAGCAGCAACCTGCTCAGCCCCTTCCAAACCAGTCTCTTCAAAGGCCACCAAATGTCCCCTTAGCAATGCAGCAGAAGATGATGCTTCAGAAAATGCAGCAGAGCCAGCAAATCTCAGGACTGCAGTATCCAGTCTCTCAACAGCACAGACAGGTAAGACATGTTCCTTCTAAACCATAATGGAAAGGTAATTTCATGTATAGTGGGAAAAAAGCGTTTCCCATCCATTCTTCCCAGAAAGAATGGGTGTAGAGAATTCCATAACAAAATACAGTGGTCCCAAAACATTTCATACATAACCACCTCATAAGATATTGCGCAAAAAAATGCTGGTGTTCAATTTTTGTAATATGCACAGTAGATGCACACTGCACAGTCATAAGAAAAGAAAGACACGTTTCTTCCAATAACAGTACACTAAATGTGTCACTGATGTATATTTGGATATGGATACTTCCCCATAAGGTGGGGAAAAATAATAGGGCAAAGTTAAGGTTATTTTTGAAGTCTCATTTGAATTTCCCAGCTTAGGAGATGTCAGTTGTTTTGCACTTTATTTTCATGAGATTGTTTTTAGGTAACAGCTTTATAACATCGATTCTATTTCATCATTTTGTCTGGGAGAACAGGATTGAGAAATAACATTATTCTTAGACATATATTGACTAATTTGACAAAGCTTTTCATCTAGGAATTTTATTACTGATTTGTAAAGGAAACTGAAACTTCTGACTTGTTCTGTCTACATCTACCTAGCCTCATTCTTACATATTGCTACCTTGGAATTTATTTCTAGAAAAAAGAGGGAGAAATTCTAGTCTTATAAGTGAATGAAAAATATTCTTCACATAACATCAAAAGACTTGTAGGGAAACATAGGACTCTGGGCACTGGACTTGACCCTGGAGGCCTATTACAGTTCTTTATTCTGAAGGATGTAACAGTATGTAGTAGAAATGTGTTAGGGCTGGAAAGGAGGTACCCAGTGGGGCATGAGAAATGGTTTAAATCAAAGGCTAATTTTTGAAAATGAACAATTTAATGTTAAATGCATTATACCCCTAAAACAGATGAGGAATTGAGGCAAAGTGGCAATGATTCTCCTATGCCTTGACCCTTGCGCTTGTCATTCATACTTGCTCAGAAGGGATGTAAAATGATAGCTTTCCTTATATGGCAGTTGCTCTGTGCTTCCTTTATTTATACAATAGAAGGGGATAATACTTGCCCATGTCAGTGGGTTTCTGTAAGGATAAAAATAGATGGAAACACATGGGACAGTCAGGTACTAAGGTGCAGAGTAGTGCTGAAATACCTACAGACCAGTGCAGAATTGCCAACTGTTGTCATATTAGCATGAGTCTTGTATTATCTGATGGATTCATGTCATTAGAGGAGACTGTTCCTTAAAACAAAAGTAAATTTTTAGTCTCTCAGGTTATGCAATGACACTTGAAAATGTGACCTAGAGTAATCTGAAGGCTCACAAACCAGGCTAAAAAAAAAAATTTATATATAAAAGTCATAGGGTAATATAAGTATAAATATAGATATTTAGACTTCATGATTTTGTAACCTTATCTCATGGTTTTTTAGGGTGGCCTGATTCAAGGTATTTGACTAGGATGGATGGCAGTCTTGCAAAGGAATAGAGTCTTCTGGGCAATTTGTTAATTTCTTATAGATGGGAAAACACTGTAATGACTTATCCAAGCCTTAAAGACCAAACCTTCCCAATAATAATCAAAAGTACTAGAATAAGTGAATCCAACAAACCTGGAGTTTCTAGGCCATGCTGGTCAGATGCAGTCTGATGTCAACTATGTTTATTAAAGTTCTGTTAAAAATAGAAAGCAAAATATAAACAAATTTGTGCTGTGCAAGTATATATATGTATTTCTTTAACTCTCCCAAACTTCTTAATCAGTTAGTTTTAGGTTGCTCCAACACATCATCCTCCTAGGAAACAGCATCTTAAAAGGTTCTAGCAGAAGGGGTTTGGTTTGGTTTGGTTTGGTTTGGTTTGAAGGGGTTGTAGGGGGAATTGGCATTGGGAAGGCACCTTAACTGACTTTGCAGGGGTTCAGTGGTTCCTTGTGTATTTCTTTAGATTTTAACTGTCTTCACCAGAGCTTTTCTCCCTCTCTCAATAGACTAGCAGTCAGATGGATTGTAGCAGTTTCTTTATTCCACTGTGATGAAGTCTCCAGCAAGCTGTTGGCACTGGGGCGGGGGGGGGGGGGGG